CCTATACACTACATTTTTATTTCAAGTACTATAGTTTTGAGTTCTAAAATTCCCATTTGCAGCTTCTTTATGTCTTGTTTCCTTGCTAAGACTGTTATTGAGGCATTTTTAAATGTAAAATATACATAAAATTTACGATTGTAACCATATTTATTTATTTCATTTTTTATAACCGTTTTTAAATGTACAGTTCAGTGGCAGAGTAGTACATTCACATTGCTGTACAACCATCACCACCTTTCTTTCTTCCCAAACTGAAACTCGGTACCCTTTAAAAAATAACTCCCCAATCACCCATTCTCCTAGCTTTTGGCAACCAGTATTCTATTTTCTGTCTGTAACTACTCTAGGTACCACGTATAAGTGGAATCACACAATATTCTTTTTTTGTGTGTCTTATTTCATTACCATAATGTCTGCAGGGCTCATCCATGTTTTAGCCTGCACCAAAATTGCATTCCTTCTTAAGTCTCATTGTACGTATATATCACATTTTGTTTATCCATTCATCTATCAATGGACCTTTGGGTTATTATAAATAATACCACTATGAAAATATGGGTACACAGTATTTTTTCAGTCCCTGCTTTTAGTCATTTTGGGTATATACACAGAAGTGAAATTGCTCTATCTTACAGTAATGGTTATATTTAATTTTTTGAGGAATCTCCATACTGTTTTCCACAGTGGTTACACCATATTACATTCCTACCAGCAATGCACATGGGTTCCAATTTCTCTAAATCCTTTTTTTTTTTTATTTCTATAATAGCCATCCTAATGAGTATGAGGTGTTATCTTATTTTGCTTTTGATTTCCATTTCCCTAATGGTCAGTGATGTCGGGGAGCTTTTCATGTGTTTGTTGCCCCCTTATATAGGTTCTTTGGGGAATGCGTATTCAAGTCCTTAGCCCATATGTTAATCAGGTTATTCTTTTGTTGAATTGAAAAGGTTTATATTTTTGGGATATTAATCCCTTAATAGATATATGATTTGCATTTATTTTCTCCTATTCTGTGGGTTGCCTTTTCAATCTATTGATAGTATCCTTTGGTACCCAGAAGTTTCTAATTTTTATGAAGTCCAATATCTCTCTTTCTCCTTTTGTTACCTGTGTTTTTGATACATATCCAAGATATCATTGCTAAATCCAATGTCATTAAGTTTTTCCTTTTAAGAGTCTTAGAGTTTTAGCTCTTAATTTTTGTATATAAGGGCTTATGGGGGATCCCTGGGTGGTGCAGTGGTTTAGCGCCTGCCTTTGGCCCAGGGCGCGGTCCTGGAGACCTGGGATCGAATCCCACATCGGGCTCCCGGTGCATGGAGCCTGCTTCTCCCTCTGCCTATGTCTCTGCCTCTCTCTCTCACTGTGTGCCTATCATAAATAAATAAAATTAAAAAAAAATTAAAGGGCTTATGGCTCTGTTTCACCAGCACCATTTGCTGAAAAAAATGTCCTTTCCTTATTGAATGGTCTTGACATCTTTTTTTTTTTAAGATTTTATTTATTCATGAGAGACACAGAGAGAAAGGCAGAAACACAGGCGAAGGGAGAAGCAGGCATCCTGTGGGGAGCCCAATGTGGACTCCATCCCGGGGCTGGATCATGCCCTGAGCTGAAGGCAGACGCTCACTGCTGAGCCACCCAGGTGTCCCATATGGTCTTGACATCTTTGTCAAAAATATTTTGACTGTATATATGGGCTGTTTTATTTCTTGATCTATAGCTTTGTCTTTATTTCAGCACAACACTGTTTTAATTGTTAAGCTTTAGAGTAGATTTTGAAATTAGAAAGTTTGAGACCTCCAACTTTGTTCATTTTTGAGATTGTTTTGAATATTCAGACTCTTCAGCTTCCATCTGAGTTTTAGGATGCATTTTTCTGTTTCTACTCAAAACATTATTTCTAGTTTTAGACCTCACCAACTTACTAAATATATCAGTTTGAGGAATGCTGATTGCATTAAGCTTATTAGATGTCAGTTTTCTCACTGAATGAAGTCTTGAGAGTCTTTTATTTTCCTGTAATTGAGGTTAAAGAGAGCAAGAAAGCCAAAAGGAGGAAGATCAGAAATCTAAAAGGGAAAGCTATTGTCACAGAAATTTGTTGAAGGGATATGAAGTATAACCTTTTCATTTACCAGAGAATTAATTTGAAACTGATCTAAAATTTCTAAGATTTTTTTTGTAAGTCATTGGACTTCATATTTGAACTGATGATAGGGTCAAGGAGTATATAACTGAAACTTGAGATTATACAAAGACCTGTGTTTCATTATAACTCATGACTCTAATCAAACTTAGACTACAACTTGACATTTGTCTGTCTATAAATATGGCAGGTAAAGTTCCCTTGATTTATTTTAATACATCTCTAATGAAGACATTTCTAGGCTACTATAGAATTGTTCCTAGTTTTATAACTTGGTATCATCCAAGTAAACGTTTTGGGTATATGTATTGTATAGTAAGATTTAGGTATATGATAGATTGTATAAGTAACATTAGAACAATTTAACAGATGAATTATCTGTTATCTTGGTTTTTGTCTTCCAGAATCTCTACACAAGGAAGTACAGGATTTGGCCTTTCTAGATGTTGTATCCAAACTTCGCAGTCATGAGAACAAAAGTGTTGCCCAACAGGCCTCTCTCACAGAGCAGAGACTTACTGTGGACAGCTGAGAACTGCCCCTCCCTGATACATGGCATCATCCCAGCTCTGATTTCCCCTTTGTCCTCCATCTTCTTCCATATCACTTGTGCATGCGTGTAATGTTCCAGTACCAATTGAAGAACTGCTGTAGGTACCTGCCCAATAAGATTTCTAAACCCATAGTTAGTGTAAACATGAATTTGTCAAAAACAAGTCTCCACCCATAACTGTTCTCTTGTATTCCTGTTGCTTGAGCTACATTAAGTAGAATGTGCATGTTGTAGTCCTATGATGATGTAAACTTGGTACTACATAATGACTTGCTCCTCACACTTGGTAAAACTACATAATAATGTACTGGTAAATTAGAAACAAACAAGAATGCAGCAGGATCTGTCTAGCTCTTAAAGATGGAATTGAATAGTAAAAATAGCTCCATTTTTTGGTGCTTGGGAAGCACAGTGACCAAAAAACTGTATGGCTGCTCATTCATTAGTCTTACCTACTAATGTCAAACCCATGGTACCTAGAGTTAAATAAAATCCAATGCTCTCACTCTTTACCCTATGGTTTCTCCTTCTTCCTAACTATGTAGACTCCTGAAATTGCCACAAACTTGGCAAGGCTTCCTTGTGGTTTTTAAATTTTTATTTAATTCGCTGTCATCCGTAGCTTAACATTGAAAATATTTGTGTTTTTCAGCATGAAACTAAAGGGTTGAAGAATCTGTGTTACACTAAGTACATATTTTGGGGGGTTTTTTGGCCTATATTTTAGAATCTGATATGTGTACATTTTGACATCAGCATTGTCCAACACTTGTCTTTAAATGTTCACTTGGCATTTGTTTTCAACTGAGAAATTGAGTATAGCTCATTGGAGGGTGGGTTGTAGAGGTTTTGTTGTGGGTTTTTTTTGTTTTTTTGTGGCAGTTTTTCATCAGAAGTTTCCTCTGTCCTAGTCCTTTTAAATCTTATATTAGAACTAGCAGGACATAGAAAAAAAAGATTAAGAAAGAAGTTTGTCTATACTAAAGAAAGGAAGCAGGTTATAAAAGCCATAGTTGCCAGTCTAGTTCATTCTGCAGATGGCCTCATACCAGTAGCTCTTAGAGTTTCCCACCTCCACTTGCCACAGAGAATTGCACTAGATCTCACAACTATCAGAAAAAAGTGACAATGCCAAGACTCAAGAGATGAGAAGACCCTCTTGGCGAAATATAGTGTACTCTTCACTGCCACTACCACCACCAAATGGGTTTTTAGAACTTTGAAACACAATCTTTGTAAATTAACCAAAAGATCCCTGTGACATACCTGTCTTGTCCCCATGCACAAGCTTGACAAATACTGGCTGAAAGGTATGATGGGCTCCATTACGGAAGGGCTGTAGGGCAGTAGAATGGGCCGCCCAGGGTGACAAGAGCTCTTTCCTCTCCAGTGGGAGATACTGCACATATCTATGGGGTGACTGAAGTTGGACTTTTGACTCTGAAACAGGTATAATTCAAGAAAATTAAAACCTCAGTGGAGGTAAAGAAACTGACTGATTATTCCCTTTGATGTCTAGGAAAGGGACTATTATTTTGAATGCTTATGCTACACTTACTGTAAGAATGGTATTGTTTACTATCTTCTTCTGGGCTGGATAGTGGACTATATTTTATTATAGGTTTTGAAAAACATCTGTAATGTTGAATAGGCTGTCCATATTATTAACTAAATAAATAAATAGTATATCAAACTGTAATGGCATCATTTGGTTTGTTTGTATATTTCACTTCTGTTTCCAGCTCCTAGAACAGTGATTGATTGTTCATTGTTGATGCTCAGTAAGTATTTGTTGATGAATTCCCGATTTTATAAACTTCCAGATCCCCTAAAATAATTCCAGATAGATTGGTAGAGAAATGACATTTAGATATTTGTCTGGCTTCAGAGAATCTTTTCAATAGGATCAGTCCTTATTGAAAAGCATCATATAGGGCAGCCCGGGTGGCTCAGCGGTTTAGCGCCACCTTCAGTCCAGGGCCTGATCCTGGGGTCCTGGAATCGAGTCCCCCATCAGGCTCCCTGCGTGGAGCCTGCTTCTCTCTCTGCCTGTGTCTCTGTCTCTGTCTCTGTCTCTCTCTCTCTCTCATGAATAAATAAATCTTTAAAAAAAAGAAAAAGAAAAAAGAAAAGCATCATATAGAAAACAGAACAGAGGCATCCAAAAATTATAGATTTCAGAGAAGCCATCATCTGGGCCAGCTACCAGCAATCAATTGATATGCTAGGAATTCCCATCTCCAACAAAACAAAGTGCATTTCTAATCACTTTTTTTTTTTTTGCAGAGAGACCAGAAGGCTATGCTCTTATGACAGATTAAGGCTATGCCTTAATCCCACCAAACTAGGTGATGTGCTGTTCTGCATGGCAGGAGGTGGGAGTCTACAAACAATACTAAATATCCGACTACTTGATCTGAGTTCTAGAGGCCACCTTTAAGTTAGTTTGCTACCCACTAAGAATGTATTCTGAGGGAGAGTGGGAGGAACCTCACAGCATAGCTTTAATTATCACTGTTTGTCAGGATTATAGCATAGCTGAAAAGCAAAAAGGCCAGGAATTGGGAGAAAGATGTCTGAGTGAAGTGCACTAAAATGCCTTCCCTCCCTTCTAAGAAGGAAGCCCATTCACTCCTTGGGATCTTGCTAACCACCCCACAGACTGTAATCTCATTGTGCTCAAAGCAAAATTAATCAATTAAATGCTGGCTCATAATCCAGTGTTTTCAACTTGATAAAACATGGCTTGTGTATATTACCTGATAACCATAGAGATCTAGACAAAATTTTTTAGCTCTAAAATGATTTTGTCTTAGGTGGAACAAAATGCAGTTCTTAGATATAACCATTTGTGGGAAATGTTCTGAGAAACCCTGCATGTGAAGATTTCAAAAAGAAATGCTCTTTGGTATCATTAGAAAGCTTATCATCTAATTCTGCTGAACATAAGGGATGAAGATGTTCATTACATAGGTAAGTATTCTCCCTTTGTATTCAGCTGTTAATAGAATCAGTAAGCTTGGGCAGCCCAGGTGGCTCAGCGGTTTAGCGCTGCCTTAAGCCCCAAGTGTGATCCTGGAGACCTGGGATCAAGTCCCACGTCCAGCTCCCTGCATGGAGCCTGCTTCTCCATCTGCCTAGGTCTCTGCCTCTCTCTTTGTGTGTCTCTCATGAATAAATAAATAAAATGTTTAAATAAAAATAGAATCAGTAAGCTTAAAAGTCTTAATTCTAGGAAGCCATAATATTTGAATTATGCAAGTGTCTATTAAAGAGTATTTAATGATATTTGGGATGAATCCTCGTAGCTGTAACCAGGAAAATTGAGGGTTATTTTTTTTTTCACAGATGTGCTTTCTTAATTTGCATACACACAATGCATAATTATATGCCATGTAGCTTCATAGATAGATGTTTTATAGGTATATCTGGCAAATGTGAGAACAATTTTAACTGTGATTAGTGAAAAGAATAAGGTCTTTAAATACTGTATGATCTGTAGTAATATCCTGGTTCTGTTTTGTACTGGCTGTGTGACCATGATAGAGTAACTTAAACTCTCTGGGCCTGTTTTCTCATCAATATGATGAGTTTAATAATCCCATTTCCCAGGTTTTTGTGGTAACTGAGACTTCTAGAGGTTGAAGGTAAGATTGGATGGACCTGTGATACCTGTGACATCTTATGGCCTATCCTCTCTTCCCCCTGGAGGATTCTTAGCTAAAGAAATTCAAAGAACAGCCAAATGGGAGATATTGTTTATTATCTTGTCTAGTGTCTAATAGTTTGAGGAGCACCCAGTTATTCTCAATGCAGAATGCATAACCCTTCTTCCTCCCCCTGAAACTATAACTGCCAGGTCTACAAAGTAGGCCTTGGATGTAGGTCTCCACTACAGTACTTCCTCTCCCTGTTCAGACCTATCAAGTGTGAACAACAGTAGTTCAACAATCTTAGCTTTTATTAATATACTAAGTCAATATAAATAGAGCTGTGATACTATGAGTTTTCCTCAACATAGAAACAAAACAGTCCATCTTACCATTTTCAATACTGCCCACCTTATCAGTGTGTGTGTGTGTGTATATATTTATATACATACCTGTTCATGTGTCTTTTTCTTAAATATAAACGCTGTGTGCTTTACATGAAGGCTTTTGGTAGCTGTACTCTGAAACCTGATAGAATCCATTTGTGATGGCCTATTTATCATTATGCTTGACTAGACAAGCAGACCCTTTATGTTGGAGGTTTCCAAGGGTAAGCTGTTTCTTCTATGTCATGAATGGTTGGCTACAATTTTTGAAGGAAAAAGGTGAGCCTTGCATGGAATTTATGTTCCTTTTCAAAATTTAACTAATTTCTTTTCTTCTTAGTGGACTTTCTAAAAATTCATTATTTCCTTTTTCTCACTTTGTTTCTTCCTAGAAAACAAACCAAAACTTTTTACCAAAATTTTTTACTGTGGCCACAGACATTTTAATCTAACAACATTTCAAAACTAGATAGTATATACCTATTTGTAATACGAGATAAATAGAAACTTAATATTCCCATAATTCATTTATATACTGATGCCTATGGTTCTCCTGACATTTGTTCTCTCAATCCCTGACTTTTCTACTGATGTCACATTTATCCGAAGAGAGATGTAGAGCCCCCCACTTACTGAGCAAAATGGAGGATCAAGATGATGTTATGAGCAGTGTCCTACTCTCAACAAGCAGTTTCACTGGTTTCTCTGGTCCCCAGCATTATCAGTGCAGCTTTCAAGGAGCAAAAATTGGAGCAAGCAAGGTGGCTAAAGCATGGAAATGGCTCAAAGATCTGTGGTTTTGCTGGTAAGGATGTGTGCAATTTCATTTTACTCTGTTTAGCCTAATAGAGTTAAAACCACATTCAGGTGGTGTATGGAGCTTAATTTTTAGTTGGTGTTGGTCACATATATAGAGAATTTTGTTTCAGGATTAGAGTTTCAGAAATTTAGCTACATTTGTTTATCTTCATCAAGGAAGTATAAAAGCCTAATCCTGTCATAGTTTGAAACCTGTTAGTTTTGGGTTGGGGATTTTTTTTTTTTTAAGGAAATAATTTTAAATCTTTATTAGGTTTCTGTTAAAAAAATGTTTAAAGCCTTAATAGAGACTTCTAAGTGTATGAACTTTAAATGTAATAGATCTTTTAAAAATATGTGTTATCTAGTTTCACATATAATTGAGACACATTACTTACTATTGCAATAATTACTTTGTTATTTATTTATTCCCAGGAATCCTGAAGAATCTTGAAGAAACTCTGCCTGTACCTTCAGATTACTGTCAAAAAATAAATTCCTCTGTGAATGCTCACTTTGAATTTTATAGCTATATCTAAAGTAGGCCTCCCTTTTACTAAAATAGTGTTTTTGTTCATTTTTAAAGGACTGCCATATAAATAGAGCCAAGTCTGTAGGGAAGCTGGCTTCGTCCCTGTCCTCACAGAGTCCATGCACTCAAATGAAAAACCCCTTCTCCTTTTAGGACATTTCACAAGACTCTTCCAAGGTCAGCATCACCCCCAGCACCAAGACCAGAGAAAGCCAGCTTTTGACCTTGTCTTCTTTTCCACTGGGACTATCCCACTTGAGATATTCCACTCAGCTTCTTGGTCCTCTGTCCCATCCCCATGTCTAGCATAGACACATCAGTTGAATACCTATAACTACACTGAACTTATGGATGAGGGAAAGGTTAAATCATACTCTAAGATAATAAAAAGGCATATTGGTTGCAACCCAACACTAGAAGATAAAGAGCTGCCCCAATCTGGATGGACAATGGGGAGGAAATATTACCCAGAGTACCTTTGATTTCAGACCCATCTCTGAAGGAATCCAAAATAGTCCCTAATTTCAGCTGGGGCCAACTATCCGTATACAATTCCTTCACCCCACCTTCCCTTTTTTAAGGTTCTAGAATGCAACCCACTCCCCCACCATGCCTTTTCTGCAATAATTTCCTTTTTCTTGCAGGTAAGGAAAGTAAGGGAGGAGGTGTTAATGACTCATTTTGCACTCTAACCCACACCACTCAACCCCAATGCCCAGAAGTTAGAGGAAGTGAGACAGCGGAGTGACCATTGAGCTTCATCATATCACATAGTACCAGTTAAATCCTGCTTCCTGCCTCTTGACCTCTTGTTCTCCTATCAGGGTAACTGTGAGATGCGGTGCCTTCCCCTGAACCATGAGAAGTGGGAGCAAGATGTGCAGTGACCTAAGAAAAGCATCCGAGGAAAAGATGTTACCTGTACATGAGTGTCTATAACTGGATCTGACAGTCCCTTACTCTATAAAATGCAGGCTTTGTCAAGCCTGTGACTAATGTCTAATGCAGAGTTCCAGAATGAGCTTCTGGCACGCTCTCCCACAGCAATTGCCCTGTGTGTGTCCGTACTATGCACAGTTGAAGTGCCCTGCCACATGGAGCCACCTTCTCTCCTTCCCACTTGCATAAGCGTTTGTTCACGTTACTAAGAAGTCTGTTTCACAAACCTCATTTTTAATAGTTGCATATTCTTCAATTATATAGGTGTACCATAATTTATTTAACCATTTTCCTATATTTGGGCACTTAAGACATATTCTAATTTTTGAAAAACAAACCAGATGCTAAGTCATGAGCATTTGCAGATGCTAGAGTAGTTCCTAAAAATTATGACTTGTCAGTCCCTCTACTTTCTACCTCTAATTCCCCTCACTTTCTCCTTCAGAGGTCCTTGTAGCCTCTTTGCCCCCTCCTGATTCCATTTGTCCTTCCATCACCTCCTGGACACCCTATGCTCCTGCTAAGCCCTCCCTAACATCCTAAGGGGACCCACTGCCCAGGAGAAGAGGGCCCACAAGAGTGGAGTGGCAGCACTTCCCTCCTGGGCATCCAGGCATGAAGTCAGTTACACCCACTTGGCATTGACCACCATTCCCTTACCAAATGTATCAGAGTGGACCTCCTAATAAGAGGCGGCACAGGACACACCCTTGAGTACCCACTGGGGCTAGTGTTCAGCTAATTGGAGTCTAATTGCCTCTTAGCACTGTCATCAACTGCTACCAGCACTTTTGCACCTCTCACCAAGCCTGTGAACCACCACTCTGATTTGTTCCAAGCTGATAAACACTCTCCAGGCACCACTCACATGGAGAGGGAATAGAGGGGTGGAGAGCCTCTTCTGGTACAAGAATCCTCATTTAACACTCCTTGGGAATCTATAACCAGGCTACCCATTTCTTCCTATAGACCAGGGAGGGCAAACTGGGAGTCCTCATACATCTTTGTTTCACATGGTATTTTGGGAAAAAAAAAAAAGGAGGGGAGGTAATAAGCTGCTGTAAACATTTAAAATTTGGATGATTTTGCACTAAAATCTAGTTCTGCCTTTTTTAATGGAGATCTGGTAACCAGAGACTCTCTATTCCAGGTGAGCAGCATGTGGCTCTGGCCCTCTTTGGATAGGGCATGCTTCTCGAGCCTACTAAAGTCCCCCAACCTGGTCCCCTTCCCCTGTTCCCCATAACTCCATAGCCCCTAGAAGTCTATATATCTGTGACCCTGTGGGGCCCTCATGTGCAGGTTGCTTCTGGAAGGGAAAGGGGAATGGATTTTTAGGGAGAAAGAAGCAGGACTACAGGAAATGCCATGGCTCATGGAGGTCCAAAAATCTGACCCAAGGGCATGTGCAGCTTGCACCGTTTTTATTTCCTCAAAGACTTGACATTCTGAGGGCTAGTGACAGCTGCAATCTAATTGACAAGTATTAGGTACTGGAAATACAGCTACAAGCCATGCCCAAGTCTGCACCCACTCCATCCTGCTAACAAGAGGGAACTGATGCTGACCTTTCTGTCCCCTCACAGGGCTGGCAGCACACTGTGGTGACTACAGAAATTAAAGAAGTCCCTTCTTAGCTTGGTCAGAAATGCATCCCTTCTCCTGAGAACAAAAATATACTACATCCCCTTCATCCCATGGAGTCAAGGGCTTTTACACAACAGGGGGACACTGCTAACCCAAAAAGAGAAAATACCCTGCTCCTAAATGTTTCATTGACATCATATACCAAAGGGGAGTATGTTCCCCATTGTGAGTAAGCGCGGAGTAAGTAAGCCCCAAAGGCTAAGTGATCCTCTGTGATTCAAATCACCAAGAATCACACAGACTGTGAGCTAAAATATGGCAATAGAGAGGAACGGTTGTCAAACCTTGTTTTCTCTAGATTAATCAACCCAGCACCAAAAATATGCCAGAGCTCCCCACATCTCTGCCATATTGGAAGATGAATATAATATCAATAAGAGACCCAAACAAACAAAATGTCTTCAGTTTCTGAGAAAATGAGGCAGAGCTTAGAAAAGAGAAAGAAATCAGTCACCACTTGGGACACAGACATGGTTCAAATGTTTACAAAGCCAGGATACATAGGAACAGTGGGCTTTGGCAAGGGTCAGATTGGTAGGACCAATAAAAAAAAAAAAAAGGCAAAAAGACAAAAAATTAAAAATTTAAGACTTTTTGTCTTTTAAATCAATATTGTGATTTATTTGCCCAATATCTAGCTCCTCATTCCATTTTAGCAGAACTCCAGTTTTATTCAGGGGGCCATTGTGCCAAGTTCAAAATACTCCAATTTCCCAGCTTTCTAAGCCTCACCTCCTTTTCTTTCTTTTCCCTGCCTCAAATGTTGATAATGGACCCCACAAATATAGCAGCCCTCTTGCAATCATGAGGTACAAACATGAAGATGAAGGCCTCTACACCAAGAACAGTGGAACAGAAAGTTGAAAAGAACATCGATCCTCAGCAGCATCAGTGAACTGGAGGAGCAGCGCTGTATTGAGGACTCACAGTAATACATGAGACACACACCTGCTGCTTAAACTCCTAGAGCAAGGTTTTCTGTTATTTGGAGCAGAATGAAATTTTGATTAGCAAGGCTAATCATTAAAGCATCAAAACCTCTGAGGACAAGTTGTTCTGCTCATAAGCCACAGCCACAGAACTCATTAAAACAAAGGATTAAAACAACTAGGGCTACCAGCTTTAATGCTCAAAGTTCAGAAAAACCCCCCAGACAGCCTGATTTGCTGATATAGCAGCTTTCCTCACTACACAAGTTTGCCGAATTCTTCCTATATACATCAGGTACCATGCTGGGATAGAATGAGAAGACAAAAAGAGAAATACCCTCTCTTAAATGTTTCATTGACATCATATACCAAAGGGGAGTATGTTCCCTGGGGAAAGGATGAGAAACATTAATCTATCAAACAAGACTGCTAACTGCATAAACAGAGTTACAGAGGTCTGTAGAGAGAGGCCACTGAGCATCCTGCAGCAGAGGATCCATATGAAAGGGTGGAGGCAAATATGGTGGGGAAAAATAGAGAAGACCAGAATGGGGACGGGGTTCTTAAGACATTTTAGCTTTTTATTATGTCCTAGAAAACCAAAAGCTTTTTTTTTAAAGATTTTTTTTAGGGTGGGTGTGTGGTGAGAGAGAAGAGAAATTTAAGTAGACTCCATGCTGAGTGTGGAGCTGGTCACAAGGCTCAATCTCAGAACTCTGAGATCATAACTTGAGCCAAAACCAAGAGTCGGATGCTTAACCTACTGTGCCACCCAGGTTACCCCGAAAAGCAAAAGTTTTTAAAGGGAGTTTCGAATATTTGCTTTTTGTTCTAGAACCAGAATTATTATTAATAGGACACACACACACACACACACACCAGCAGGAAAATTAGCCTATTTGGACAAGCAGGTGGCCATTTACTGCATCAATAACCCAGGATCATCATTCAACCTTCATCCTTTTTTGAGGCCACTAAGTTCTGACCCAGGGATCAATTATCACTTGCCAAGTAAACCACTGTACTTAGAGCAAGCGGACTCCCTGAGGTGTTCCACTCCAGATGTGGTCTAAGGTAAACATCTCCCAGAATGGTCAGAGAACTTTCTGCCACCCTAAACTACCTAGAATAGTCTGGACACATCTTCTGGTGATATCACCTGAATATCCTCACGCTTGCTCAGTCTTACTGGGCACAACCCCAGATACAATGATTGTCCACAGCATTGTCACCCTGATGGAAAGTCCAGACATCAGGAGACTCTTGCTGATGATTTAGAGCCTTTAGCTTCTAGAGAAGGCAAAGGGAGTGACTGCACCCATAATAAGCATATGGCCTTTCTCTTCAGCTTTCCATGTGTCTCCATGTAGCTTACAGCCTTTCCATGTGAGGACTCATGACTTCTTCTTGTCTGGGGAAAGGG